TCAGGCACATTCACACCTTCTATCACCGAAACCTTCCTCGACATTTACGTCTGCTCTTTCATGCTTCAGCTTTAGTCATATCCTCACTTTTAAAAACCCCCCCCCCCCCCTCCCAGGTTGATGAAGTCACGACCACGACACTGAATCCGTCACATTTATTTCTTTTTATTATGAAAACGTAGAGAAGAACAGAGTCGTCACGTTACATCATGTTACAGTGTTTCTCCTGAAATGAAAAATAAAAAAATCTTTTTGACACGACGAGGTCAAACCTAACAAAGTTTAATGTTAACAAACAACCATTTATTTCATGTCCGTGTGTGTTTTTACCGTCGGCTGCGTGTGCAGCAAATTCGACGGGACACATCCTCCACCTACAATCTAATTGAATGCATCTTCTGAATCAGAACAGCCGGTCGTCTCTGAGCGGAGTGAGGCTGTTTGAGTGATCGTGATGATGTGATGCAAACAGCTTCATGTTGTGTTTGTTGTCGTCGTCACAGTGTGTTGAGTTGAAATGTCGCTCTACATTTAACACTATCACAGAAACACAGATGAAGTAGTTGTGGAGCCTCAGTAGTTGTTAGACAGCAGGTTGTGAAACGGATCTTTAGAGACATTTATCACGATATTATATAACATATGAAAACAGCACATTTATCAGACTTGAGAGTTGAGTTTATTCCGTCCTCGTGGATCCTGGATCACTTACAGTAAAAGTCCTCAGTTGACTTTGGCCATGAGCTGCTCTGTGAAAAGCTTCTTCAGCTGAGCCACCTCCTCGCTCAGAGAGTGGAGCTGAGACTTCAGGTGCGTGTTGCCCTGCTGATACTGCCCCTCTGTGTGTCCTTGTGCGGGAGGAGGCTGGAGGCTGTAGCTGGCTGCCGAGGGGTTGTACTGAGGGGACTGTCTCCCCCGTCTGCCCTCGTCCCCCTCCAGCTGCTGGAGCCAGGGGCCGGCGCAGTGCCCGGCTCCTGTCTCACCTAAACTCAGTCCTTTGACAGTCTCTCGCAGCGTGGGGCTGCGTCTGGCACAGCTGCTGTCCCCCGCGGCGTCAGACACGTCCCCGCTTCCTGGCGTCTTGAAACGCAGCTTGTGGGGCAGGTTTTTCATGGACTCCGCGTGGTCCGGCTTCCGTTCGGCGAGTCCCACTGTGTGGTGGACGTCGGCGGGGGAGTGGTGAAGATCGTAGCCCAGCTCGTCCCTGTGTGGTGATAATTTCCCATGATCGCTGAGCCGGTCTTCAAAGAAGATCGGGCTGCCCACGCTGGACCCACCAGGCGTAGAGAATCCAGAGTCCTCCGACATGTGACCAGCATCCCTCGAGCCTCGGGTGCTCAGCTGGCCGGTCTGGTGGGTGGTGTGTGAGGCTGAGGAGCTGTGGTGGCCTCCGTCCCCGCTGTGGAGATGATAGTGAGGAGTCAAGGTTTGAGTGCTGTGCTGAGAAGTTGTGGTGAGGGGCAGGATGGGAGCGTTGGAGGGGTCTTTGACCAGGCCGAAGCGGAACTTCAGAGCCAAGAGCTCTGCCCTGAGACGAGCGTTTTCCTCCAGCAGAGCCAGAACACGACTCTCCAGGACCATATCGTTCACGCGCCGTTTTTCCCTCGAGCGTTTGGCCGCCTCGTTGTTCTTCTTCCTCTTGTCCCAGTAGCCGTCGTCCTTCTTCTCATGGGGGATGAACTCACGCTTGCGTCGGATGCTGGAGGAGGGACTCTCTTTGCGTTTGATGGCAGAGCTGCGGCCCAGCAGGGAGCGGGCCAACAGGCTGCTGGAGGTCAGGATGGACACGGCCTCGTCTGTGAAGGACAGGGGCCCCGCTCGACTTTCTCCGCCTCCGGCCGGACTCGCTGCTGCTGCTGAAGCCGGCTCCAGCGTCTGGAGCACGGACCCGTCCTGCTGCCCTCTCATCTGCTGGGACTCCTCCTCAAACATCTCAGAGCTGAACGAGCCGCTGAGGGTGGAGAGTCACCGCTGTGAGGTGCTGGGCGCTCACGTCACTCTCAGTGGGAAGGAGAGGAAGCAGCAACAGTGCCACCTAATGACCAGAGTCAGGGAAGGGAAAGATTCAGTGGTTATGCAAGGTCCATTACAACACAACATTATGTAACACCATTACATCGCTCCCATTAAACGGAGACTTGCAAAACTCAAATGTGGGACAGTGTGTGTTGTAATCACAAAACCAATCAGACGAAAACTCACTTTTGGTTCTAATGTGAAGCAAACAGCAGCTTTTTAAACGTAAAGATAAAAATCTGTGTTTCAGTCTGACTCTAACTTGTTCAGGTCTTGACCTACATTCGTATTTAGTTTAGTTTCAGACCTAAAATAACATTTGTTTCTCTTTTAAGACTTCCCACGTTGTGTTTTAATCCCAGTTCAATGACTCCTGACTGTTTTCACTCGTTGAATGTTGAACATTAAAGAGCTGAACTCATCTGCACTCATCATTAACCTACATTCATCACTTACTTTCAGATTCACACTGAATCGACATCGACTCGTGTCTCCTTCACTTTTACTTCCACAAAATCAAACAAGAAGTTTTTTTTTTTATTCGTATCCTCACGCGAATGATTCGAAAGTTGAAACCTCGTCAGCCTGAACAACATCAAACCATCAGTCTAATAAAAATAAAAAAATAAAAATAATGAATGTTTTACTTCACTTTAGCGCAATAATCTTAATGATCCACAATAAAGACAAATACCGTCCGTGGTGCGTAAAAGTAGAATAAAAACGTACCTGTGATGAATGGTGCGTCTTTACGCACGAGCCGGATCGCGTCTCTGTGTCCTCCTCTGTGGTTCGATGGCGCACATCCACTGCGCCGCGACTGCGTAATAGCTCCGGTGTTGCGCAGCTCCACTCTGCTCCACTTGGAATGTCGCAGCTCCTATTTGTAACGTGGAGTTCAGCTCAGGACCGTGCGTGTCCCCACATGAACCGCCGGGTTGTGTGTGTGTGTGTGTTCCAGGGCCCGCCTCCCTCTGTGGGACTCACCCCCCTCCCCTCCTCCTCTCCTCCTCCCTCCCCTCCTCCCTCCACAGAACAGCTCGTATCTGCTTTCACAACATCAGAGCTGTTCAGTCATCTTCTTCTTCTTCTTCATCATCATCTTCTTCATCTTCATCATCTGACCCCCCCCCCCCCCCCCCCCCCTGCTGCTCTGTCAGGTGTAAACACGCAGCTGCTGAGAGTCACGTGTGTTTTTTAAACTTGTTTATCCTCTGAAACCTTCCAGTCCTGTTCCTCAACATTTTACTGACTGAGCAGATTTACAGAACACAAATGTGCCCGAAGCAGGTTTATGATCCTCCGAACCAGCTCCTGCTCCTCAACATTCATCCATCGGCTCCATCGCATTTTTATTTTTTGTGACACTTTTCACACAAGCATGAATGTGACACAGACGCTTAAAGAATACAAACAATACAAACAGCTGCTGCTTGTAAATCTAACTTCGGGAATGAGGAAACGGGTCAAAAGATAAAATGGAAAAGTGAAGATAAGATAATAAAATACTGAAAGAGATGTGAACAGGATTAAGATAAACGGGGAATAAGTAAAATCTTTACATATAGTGTTCAAGTGAAAACAATAAAACAAGAAAGCAGTTGAGTAAATATTTCAATACATTATTAAAATTGAATAAGAGGAAATCCCTGTAAAACAAGGTGAAAAAATAAATAAAATTCAATTAAAAGCCTGCACTAAAAAGGAAGTTTGCTTTAATGACTTTAACGAACAGTTACAAAAAGTAATATATCAACTGTTGGCGTAACACTTGGTACCGTTTGTCTGGATTTTCCTTTTTGTCCATGCACAGTTCAATTATTTGTCATTTATGTATTTTCTTTGAAGGAAAAACAGCTGATTTGTGCCACAGTGATGTAGAGGGACCATGAACAATACAATTCGTATTATTTTCTCCTTTTCATGTTGATACGATTAAGTATTTCATCAATTTAACACAAAGTTGTGCACAATATTCCTCTGTGCAAGTACCTCACCCGTCAGAAACTTTGGGTTCCGAGCAACAGGATAATCTGGTCATGTAGGTCAGCAGCTTTTAGGAATTTTTCAAAGTCTCTTGTTCAAGCCTCTTTTCTACACAGCAGCGTAATCGTGTCTTTCCAGGAAATGATTGGAAATAGAAATGCACAGGAGCAGGAGTCGGTGCCTTTAAGGCAACATGGAGATCCAGACAGCTGCTGTCTGGAGAGCTGCTGCGGCAAACCCTGCAAAATTATGTAATATATCACAGATCCATACACAAATACTTCACCGCACATATCGCTGCACAATGACAGCGTTACACAACATCTGACTCATCGTTACCCCGGGCAGGTCCTCGGCAGAGCCGCTGGTTAAGTGAGAAGGCACCGGACTGCATGTGAGCGTTTGCGTTTGTTGCCGACCTGCACCTGAGTGTGAGGCGCCGGGCGACGCATGACTTTGTTTGTTCATTGTGAGCGCAACACGAGGGCTCCGGCCTCGGCTGACCCCGGCAGGGAACGCTTGTTATGCAGGAGACGACGGACTGGACGCACTGGATCGTGTCACAGATGTGAATCTCCTGAGTGAAATGTGTTCGCAAAAAATCTTTTTCACTCGTTTCTTGTGCGTCGTTAACGCCCCAAGAAAGCGAAGTGCTGACTTGTGTGTAATTTGGACACACGCTAAGTTCGGTATTTAAACATTTTGACATAAGTGACGTTGTCGATCGCGACGCTGATTCTCCAGCTCAGGTTCTGAGTCGAGCTTCGCTTTGAATCGACAGGTGCAGCCAGCGTCACCACAGGAAGACGCTGCAGATAACGTTTCCAGAGAAGCGATGCACATGCTGCAGCTCGGTTCTTGTGAAGTCTCATCACCTCTGATGAGTGTGGAATTCAGTAACGCCACCAATGCTGTGTGGTGACTTTGATGAAGTTGTTTTCTTGGTTTGCAGCGAGCGCCCTGTGCCCACACCTGACACACTTGTTTACAACGGCCGCAGCGCGAGTGAAGTGACATGAGACGTTTGACACCATTCTCAGGCTGCCTGGTTCTGTAACTCTGAAGGTTTCACAATCTGCCTCCCACCACAGCTCACACATCGACACGCGATACCAGATTTGTGTTTTGTGTTTTACTAGAATAAATCAGAATTCGTCACATTATTATTTCTTTAAAGTTTGAAGACGTTTTTTGAAGGTGGTGGTTTCACTGCTTTGGACGATAAAAGATAAATTGATCAACATGGAACCTTTGTTATGTTGCTGTTGCTCACAGTTAAATAATGATTGATGTGGTTTTACTGCCCGACCTCTCCGCTCCTGCAGTACATCGATAAGTGAAGGTTTTACGATTTAGTGAGATTCACTTAAAGGAGCCACTTTTCATTTAAATCATCAATTACGTCCCCGTAAGTCAGAAAAACAAAAAGATTTGAGGGTTTAATTTGTTGTCTCTGGCGTTAAATGGAAAGTATTTCACAATCGAAGTGTCAGTTTGCTTTATGCAACAGGAAGTGAGTTACAACATACATCTGGCCGACAGTTCAGCTTTTGAAACGGGAGAATGTTACACATCTACTTGAGAAAGAGCTTCTGCCTCGGGCTGCTTGGGAGTGTGTCACAAAACGTCCGATCGAAGGTGATGAGACTTGTAGATTGCGTGGTTTACGAACATTCTTCGGTTCTGTTGTTCTTACATCTTGCTCCCGGTGGTATCACACACAAGTGTGTCACTGGGGACGTGTTGCGGTCAAGTGACTCGGGAGGAAAACAACAACGTTAAAACGAACCACATGAGTTCAACCGGTTCGAGCTGAATTCTTGACATTCTCCTTCCGAGGCTCTTATGGATTCACCTCCGGAGCTTTGACCTGCAGAGACCGTAAACATGTGGTGTGGTGGAAAAACATCTCGGGTCTCAGGGAGCTCGCGAACATTAACACGAGCTCCGGTCACGCTGAAAACCGAGAAACACGGAAACGTAAGAAAGTGTTTACAGGACGATGATAAAAGATGAAAGAGTCAGATTCAGGTTAACGGAACCTAATGAGTAACCTACGACAATAAACAATATCTGCTGTGAGTCTCCTCTCGGGGTTTTACGGTGGAATGCAGTTTCTGTTTCCTCCGTGGGACAAACAGCTCATTGTTCAACATATGTGGAGATAATTCAGCTGAATCAAATACCAGACTCTGTTTGATCTCCAGATCCTTTTGATCTGTTCGATTTCACACCGTCATTTAGGGACTAAAGAATTCACGTACGTCCTGTCGTCATCGGTACTGGACTCTGATTGGTTTGTAGACGGCGTCTGGTGGTCTTTCTGTTTGAACGGAGGAAATGAACGCTAATTTGTTGCCATGGTAATATTATGGTATCACTACCAGCACCTTCAGTTGCAGTACTCCACGGTACTTCAGTACTCCACGGTACTTCAGTACTCCACGGTACTTCAGTACTCCACGGTACTTCAGTACTCCACGGTACTTCAGTACTCCACGATACTTCAGTACTCCACACTAGTTCAAATGAACGACCCTCGAACGTTATGTTGTCTGAGGTGAAGACCGCAGCTGCTTCCTCTTCTGTTTCTTCTTCTATTGTTTAATGCTGCCTCTACT